CGCGTAGCGCGTAAGCAATTCACTTGCGATATAACGTGAATCCCTATTTACTATATATCGCAAGTGAATTGCTTACGCGCTACGCGCAAACGAAATCATACCTCGGCCAACTTCGATGTATCGAATATAGGTTTTCACGTTAAATATCGAGTGCACTGCATATATGATGCTTCGGCAACTCACGAATCGCCAAAGCAAGTGAAATGCTGAATCCACGAGTATGCCGACAAGTCCGCTGCTTCATTGAGTGGTTTAATAGCGACGACAATACAACGTTCAATGCGCTCATATGTTGAAGCTGTCAAAATGATTGTGTTGTATTGTGTATATCATCGTTTCTTCTTCCGCCGTTCCAACGGATTCTCGAAGTGAAATGTGTGCAAATCGTTTTTTAAACGAAAATTGGAATGAATTTCGACCGAAATTCGAAAGGAAATGAAAAGAGAACGAAAAATTGAAAGAAGTGAAAAATGTGTGTTGATCGGTAAAACTCAACATTGTTATCATGAGTAACATATGTGTTATTGGTGAAGTTTCAAATGGTGATGACTTAGTGAAGTTAGTTACGCGTTACTGCTATAATTGTTGAGATCATTTATTTGGGTAAAGTATTTAGAGATATCAATTGTTAGTTGGAAAAATTATTGCGCAGATCGGTAGATCGTCCATCGTTCATGTAAGGGAATAAGGCAACATCTTGTAATTTTTCGTATCGTATAAATATTTTTATGGAAATTTGAATATTATAATAATCAAACAAGTCCATTTATTTGGCTTTATATTCATTTGTCCTTCTTCTTTTGTTGCCGGCACTAGAATGCCGTACATTACAATCTCTCACAATGAACACACTTGACATTTGTTGCTGTGTGCGGTTCACGTTGGGCTTAAGGCCCCTCTCCATTCCTACTACAGCTAACCTATTACAATATCAAAAATATGCATCGATTAAATATAAAAAGTGAATGGTAAATGTTCTGGATATGCCAGATTTTTAGGCGTGACGGAGCTTTTGTTCTAGCTTGTCGATAATATTGCGGCCACCAGTATGACGTCTAATCTCTCCCAAATTCGGACGAATGCGTCTGTACAGATATGCCAACATTACTACGTCTTCGGAATCAACCACCAATTTCTGAACCACAAAATTGGCATATGCATCCATACTGCAAATACAAATACAAATACAAAACAAAAAAGAGCATCAGAAATCACAGCAATGAAAAAAGCCCAAATGTTCAGTTGTGTTAAATCCTATTGGACATTTTTCGATTCGAAATGGAACTTACTCTGGTCTTTGATTGCAAATGATGCGCAGTGCTTGTTTCTTCATATCTGGTGCCGCATACTTCAAAGTTCTCTCGACAACATTTGAAGCGTATTTATCTTGAGCCAATGCAGTCACGCCTTCTACGATGAACCACATCAAATTGTCTTTATCAGTCTGCGCACAATATTCTGAGCCAAAGAAAAATGGATAAAAATGCAATGAGAAAAACATGTTAGAAAATATTTTTATCATTTTTGAATCAAAATACAAGATGATTTTACAAGAAAGCAAAAAAAAACTAAACATTATGAAGAGGTCCAAAATAATTTAACCCACACGAGTGATAAAAAAAATTGTGTATTAATTTTTCGCCATAAATTTGTGGCAACACCAACAGTCTATAATGCAAACGATCTACGGCGTTATCATCAAAGGTCGATACAGTGTAGATGTGAATTTGTTTTCCACTTTCATTCCTATTCGAATCGTTGCGCGTTTTTTAACATAAACAAAAATTGTCGCTGATTTTGAAGCACGACAACACCCGGGGCTTTCGCGGTTTCTTGTCAGTTTTTCTCGTTGCAAACAGTATGGGAGAACGGTGTGCCTAATGGCCGAGGTATATTATTCAAATGAGACATGACTAATCGCGTTTAAATTCAATGCGAATATAAATGTGTGATTGCACGCTCTGTGTTTAGCACTTGGCGTTGGGCAAAGAGAGGGAGAGAGAGAAAATGATTTGTTTGCATTGCTTGCAAAAACTTTTTTCTCTCCTAATTTTACGATGAATGAAAATGATGTGATTATGTTACAATTATTTTACTTACGAACTGCGTGCTGAATCACGTAATTCCCGTAGCAATCTTGAATCAGTTTTAACAATTTATCGGCGTTTCTAGAAATGCACTTGAAAATTTCGCTGCGATGGGTCGGCGATCCATTAGCCAAAATGTATTGGATCACATGAGACCCATACGGATCTAAGCTCAATTCAAAGATGTCATTCTTGACCTTATCGAACAGATAGTCCTGGAAAAAAGTTTCCGATTTCACACAATTCATTACGATCAAATCGTTGCAAACATAAAAGACATTTTACCTTAACATTCAAAGGCTCGCATCGAAACAATTGCTGCATGACATGATTGCCATTATCATTCTTCGACAATTCGACGAAATCGTCCGGAAAAACCAATGTTATGATGAAAATTTGCTGGTGCACTGCCGATTTTTCGAAGACCGCTTGAAGCACACGGCATCCATATTTGTGCATGCTCAGTTCCATGAATTCCGTTTGAATTATCTGACGCAACTCATGTCTCTGTGTTTCTGCGCCAATTTCGAAGATTTTCTGCACCACATAATTTCCAAACGCATCCTTCATGAGTGAGAACAACTCTGATCGCAATTCGTGAAAAATCGCTTCTTTTTGACGATCTGTGGCATCGTTCAATTTACGTATGATTAGTTTTGACCCGATGGGATCTTTAGCGATTTCGGCTACTGGATACTCGCTTAAATTTTCAAAGAAAATTAATCGGTGTGTGTTTTCCATTTTCTGTTGATTGGTCGAAACACAAAAAAAAAAAAGCCCGGTTTTTGATTGTCGCCGATGTCAAATGAAACCAGGAAAAAACGAAAGAAAAACGAGGGACGAAAAAACCATTTAAAAATGATTTGCATTCAACGCAATATTTTTTTCCTACACGAATATTATTTTAAAAAAAAAACACCGAAAAAAAACTATCTTGAGATTTATCGACAGAACACAATATTTTTGATGTGTTTCGGAACGTAGTACACTCAAGACTGAGCTCGAAAAGAAAAAAAACGATGTGCAGACACACGGCGTATTGTCGGTCCATTGGGTTTGGTTGTATTTGCGCTGACGTAATCCATCATCATTCACATACGTGTATTTGTTTTGCTGTCGCGCTTCCATACGCTATTTATGTATACTTTCTTAGTGTTGATAATATGCTTTAGAACAAAAAGTGAGAGTGTGTAATTTGAGTTCGATATTACCGCACACTATCAATTCCAATTTAATGATAATAATCTATCTAACACCAATCCAACACAGTTTTCATCGAAAATGATCATGATTTCTTGTGCTTTTTTCCATTGATCCAATCAGATGAAATTTGATTTTTATTTTAAACCACCGCAATTATAGCATTCAATAACAAAAGCATAAATGCATAACGACAACGGCTCTTGAACGTGTGTTTTTTGTATATGTGTAAATAATTTTCCCATTTCTTTTGTTCCATTCTCAATGTTAAATAAATAGTATTCCTCTTCTTATCTCACGCCAACAACAATAAGTATACAAATGCGGTACACATTCTGTGCATGTGTGTTTATTATAAACAAATATTCAAAATTTTGGCTGATATTTAATTGGAGAAAAGTGGCTGGAAAAGGTATTTCATTGATTCTTCAAAGTATGAATAATTTCAGAAACGCGACAAGCATAAATGTATTTCTTAAAGAAAAAAGATATGCGATTCACAGTTTGAAACACATTCATTTTTTCATTCGAACCACATTCGGTAACACGGAAAAAACGAAACAATTAACGGGGAGCAAAAAAAAACTGTTTAAAATTGATTTGCATTCAACGCAATATTTTTTTCCTACAGGAAAATTATTTAAAAAAACACAGAAAAAAAACTATCTTGAGATTTATCGACAGAAGACAATATTTTCGATGTGTTTCAGAACGCAGCACACTCAAGACTGAGCTCGAAAAGAAAAAAACCATATGCACACGGCAGACACACGGCATATGGTCGGGAAATATTACCTTAGATTAGCTCAGTATATGTTCGGGGAGGCAAAGTCGCACACACACACACATTTTTTATTATTAATATGTGTTCATCGCTCGTTCATATCGAAAATAATTTGTGAAAAATGATTACGTTGATGCCATTTTCCAAAAAAAAAATCACATGGAGCCGAGTGTATTCATGCTCTTATTCATTTATGCATTATTTTATCGCTATGAACTCGACACAAACACGATCGGAAGCTATGTTGTACCTGAAAGTTGCAAGATGAACTTATCAAACTTCTTCCAATATACATGAAAGCGTGTGTGCGTTGCATTTTCCATGTTTCTTATTCATTCGTGTACGTTATAAACTCCTGAGCTCACACAGATTATCTACGCATTCGTCTCTTTCGCTCTTTCTTTCAATCGTGTGCGACTTTGAAATGTTGATTTTGCGTCCGTCTTTTCTTCTTTTCCTTCACAACTCACACCAATTCTGCAATTGAAAACTGAACACTCTGTGTGTCTCCCGCTTCATATATATGTGAACACAATGAAAGCATAGTGGGCAGCGATATGACTCATGACTCGTTCTCTATCTCAACGAACTGCAGCTTATCCGCTTGCCAGTCGAAAAGGCAGAGAGAGAAATTCTGCTTCTCTGCCTTGTTGTTGTTGTTTGCCTTGTTCGCTTTGGTCGCCTTTCTCACGTGCTCCGGTCGATCGAAGTTGGCCGTTCGAAAAACAAAAGAGTGAGATTCGTGCGGAAAATGAATGATGCAACCGACACGTTGATGTGTTTTGGTTTAGCTAAGGAAAATCAACGATTGATAATTATTGTCGCAATTCACGCGCCTCAACGTCTAGTATTCTTCTGTACATTCGCCATCAGTTTCAGACGCCTCGGCGCACTCGGCTCATGGACATTTCTCCCCGGGCGAGCGGGCAAACGAGCGGGCGAGCGGGTTACCCGCTCGCGCATATACCGCACCCGTTTGCCGTCCGCCCGTTCTGATTTTATCAAGACCGTTTACCCGCCCGCTCGCCCGCTGTTGTCCGTTGTGTGAACGCTTGATAAAATCAGAACGGGCGGACGGCAAACGGGTGCGGTATATGCGCGAGCGGGTTACCCGCTCGCCCGGGGAGAAATTTCCATGAGCCGGCGCACTCGCGACTCGATGGGGACAAAGGCTCTCGGAAATTTGTGCCTAGAACGTCAAAGCAATTGACATTTCAATGCTTTTAAGTCAGTAGAACATCAATGCTGCTAATGGCATTGACGTTTTAGGCAAAAGCATAATAGGCGATTTCGAAGAGCCTTTTTTTGCGCGCCGAGACGGCTAGTATTCTTCTGTGCATTTAGCGCCATCACTTTCAGACGCCTCAGTACGCTCGCGCTTCGCGCGCCTCTACTTGAAGAAAGCCTAGTCGGCAGCGATATGACTCATGAACATGGCAAACACAAACCAAAGCCGTTATTCGCTCTGCACAATCGTCTCGTTGCGTGATATATATACGTTTGTTGTATGCGTGTGTATGTTTGTTGATGCGACGGCTACTGAGCACGAGAGATGTGTGTGCGGCTTTTGTAAGCGCGAGATCCGTGTATGCGTCGCTGTTGCAACCATCGATATGCTAGCATTAATGCTTTGCCTTAAAACATGCTGCTTCCTAAGCAATGCAAATGCGAACGTCTGCTTGCAGCGGATCGGGGAATGAAATAGCCATCTGGAATAATCCGTAGTTGATCTATTTATGCATACATAGAAAAATGGCATTAAGTTAAAATCACGTATAACCATCTCAAACGATTACCTTACCGATTCTTACTTACAAAAAAATGTCAACGAAGGACAATTTCTTTTTGGTTTCACTTGTGGTAGGAGACAGCCGCACTTGATACCGCGAGTAGAAGAACTGTGAATAAATGAGATACATTTATACCCAGAGAAAATTTAGAGAGAGAGAGAGAGAGATTGCAGTAAGGAAAAGAAAAAGCACCATTATGACTGTATCCGTAGTCAAAATTTCAGAACCTTCAAAAATTGTGTTGTAATAGAGCTATATAAACTGTGCGGGAACTGTGCAAATCAAAAAACATATGTGCAGTAATTGTGCAATAACGGGTTGGCCAAAATTTGGGTGGGAATTTTTTCGATTTTTCATGGTATAGTCAAAATATCTAAAACATCGAAAAAAGCACTTCAACTCACACAAAAAATATCACGCTGCAGTATGAAATGTGTGTTTCAG